AAGTCTGTGCCTTTTTTTAAAACCCTGCGTCGCACTTGATGAGCCATGTCAGTCTGAAAACTCAGGTTTTTCGTCAGCTCGAGTAAGTTTGTTTTCAATTATTACACTGTACTGTATTAATTTTCCACCTTTTGGAAAAGCCGTGTTCCAGGAAAGGCACTATTATTTACCTATATCATTGCTGGTCTTTCTTCCACATCTCTTACCCTTCAGTTCTAATTTCATTTTCTTTCTTTTTAATTTTTAAATTCTTCCTGATCCCTATTTACATTTGCAGCGTTGTCCATTCTTGTACATTGTATGTATCATGGTTTCTGTTCTTTGAAGTGCTTATGTTTTCCAAACGTTTCTTTGCAATAGCTTCTTTTATCCCTTTAAGAGTTTTTACCAGGGTTTCTTGGTTTTTGTTTTCTTTTTCATTTTCTGTTTCTTGCATTACATGTGCCTCTGAAGGAGCCATTCAGCTTGGTCACCTTCCTTTAAGAGATGCTATGTTCTTAAATACTTTTGTGCTTTCTTACTCAGGCCAGGCTTTGGGGTTGGCAGGAGTGAGAGGTAAGGCAGTGTGTTTCCCTTGGCTCGGGTTTCTCCAGGTATGAGTGTGAAAGATTAGGCTCCCCCTCTCAGCTGGGAAGGGGAGCAGTTCACCCAAGCAGTGCTGATATTCACTGTTAGTGGGCTCTCTCAGGGCTGCGTGTGACAGATGGGCCGTGCCAGCTCCTTCTCTCCACATGCTGAGGGGATTCTCTTGGCTCAACAGGCAGGACCCCTAGAGAATATCTACAGGGTTCTTATCATTTCTAGTATTTTCACCAATAGCACTCAGATGCTGCCTGCCACCCCCCATGCACTTTGGGTCTACACAGTCTCCTTGAGAACTGAAGGCTTCACTCGTGTTTGACCTCCACTCCTGCTCCCGTAGTGAGCCCCTCTTATCTACTGTGTGTCATCCCAGCAGGAAGTAGAGGGAGGCAGGGTCATGAACTACACTCAGACTACCATCTTCTCTGAATCCTACTCACTATCAGTCACATTTAACTATTTACCACCACCTAAAATTAGTTCATACGTAAGACGATGCTTATATCATTTCTTCTAATGAGGGAGATTGCATCTCTCTCGGGAAGGTATCGGAGAGAAGAACCAGTTTCCTTTATTTCTAGTAAACAAGGATGCTGGGTAATTTTAAGTGTGTACTGGAAGTCTTGTGGGGATTGCCTAGAGCAGGCAGATGTGACATGTACCAATTAAAAGTGATCTTGCTAAGGAAAGATGTCCCCTGACCCTTGTTACCGAAGGACAGCACAGACGGGAACTGCCTCAACTGCAGAGAAGGAATAAGGCACTCTTTCAGTCCCCTGACTAGGTCATGATCTTCCATGCCTGAGGTCTTCCACACTGCTTCTCTCTGCTTGGAGCACTTCTTGACCAACTGCTTCCCCACCTGCCATCTACTCTACTCTTCCCTCCAGGCTCAGCTGAAACACGACTCCTTTAAAGAAGTCTTCTGGTTCTCCAGGAGTCCCTCGGTGGCTCAAACAGTTAAACGTTCAACTACTAAGTAAAAGGTTGGCAGCTCAAACCCACCTCAGAAGACAGGCCTGGTGATCTGCTTCCAAAAGGTCATAGCCTTGAAAACCCTATGGAACACAGTTCTACTCTGCATGTATGCGGTCACCATGAGTGGAAATTGACTCGATGGCAACCGGTTCATTTTTTTGTTTGTTTGTTTTCTAATTCTCCAGACAAGACAAAGTCCTCCCTTTAGAAGGAGATCATTGATCCCGCTACCACTTCTCTTTCCTGTTACTTAACACTAATGCTTTTTATTAAAAAAATTGTTCATTTAATATATGTCTTTCCTACTAGACTATAGTCTCTATGAGTAAAGGGACAGTGTTTATCCACTGGTGTCCCCCCAGAACCTAGCCCAATTCCACGTATATACCAAGCACTCAAATATTTGTTAATTGAATAAAAGCTAGAAGACATCAAAATATTTATAAGACTGAGATCTCAAAATCAAACAAAGAGTGAAGGGGACCAGAAATGGACCAAATCAAAAAAAAGAGTGGTAACTGCATGGAGACCCAAATATGGCAGCTAACATAGAAGGATAAAGGAAAAAAAAAAGGGACAGAGAACTGGCCTGAGTCAAAACGATTAAGAAAATAAATCTAAAAGTCAAGATGAGACTGGTTTAAAATAGCTTTTTATCTAAGCCCGAGTTGTTCGACTCAGCAAAGTGGCACAAAGAAGCCACCATTCAGAGTGGAACAAGCCCATCACACTAGACAAAGACATAAAGGCTCAGAACCAGCAGAGTTCACACATCTTAAGGGACGTGGTAAGGTTATTCACGCTCTTATGGACTACGTTTCTCCTGAATAAAATTTAGTTCATTTTTTTTAATATGCCCATTAGAATGACTCCGCAGAACAGAAAGGGAGATACTGAAACAAATGTTGACTTTCTGGGTAAATTTCAGGCAGATACACACCATTAATATTTAGCTATGACAATGACTGAAACATTAAGATAAATAATTGATCACCCTCCAGTTAGACCAGTAGTCCTGTGTTCCTGCCAGAGTTGGGACTGGCCTTCAGGAGGGGTTTGTTAACTAAATATAATCACTTTTCTAGGTCAGGGTCATTAAGTCCCATCCCCCTTTGAGAATTACAATGAATGAGCTTCAACCCAGCTAAGCGGTGGAAATGATTCCCACTGATAATATGCACATAATGTCACACGGAACTTGGGAACATTTTTTTTTTAAACTGATGAATGTGAAATGAACCATGCTGCTTTTTTCTTTGCATCTTATGGGAGGGTGTAAAATTAATAAAAAGCATATGTAAAAGAAAAGAAATATGTGACTCATATTTTCTACTTCTGATCATCTATAGGTGTTGGTGAAGAATATTGCATATACCATGGACTGCCAGAAGAACGAACAAATTTGTCTTGGAAGACATACAGACAGAATGCTCCTTAGAAGTGAGGATGGCGAGATTTCATCTTACCTATTTTGGACATGTTATCAGGAAGGACCAGTCCTTGGAGAAGGACATCATGTTTGGTAAAGTAGAGGGTTAGCAAAAGAGAGGAAGACCCTCAACAAGATAGATTGGCACAGTGGCTATAGCAATGGGCTCAAGCATAACAACAATTGTGAGGATGGCGCAGGATGGGGCAGTGTTTCGTTCTGTTGTACACGGGGTCGTTATGAGTCGGAACCAACTTTACGGCACCTAACAACAACAACAGTTGTCTAAAGAGATGTGTTCAGAATATTAAAATACATTTTAGAAGGAGGAGACTTTTAAACGATAAAGAGCTTTGAAAATAAGTAGTTTTATGCTTATAATGCAGGTGCAGTCTTAGAGAGAAAGGAAGAAAGGAAGAAATTGGCTGGTATGCTCATCCTGGAGTGTACATTTTCTGTCAATAGAACTATTTTTGTCTTTAAACAAATCAGCTTAGTTCAAATCAACAAAGTAAAAAGTCAAAGTCTGCTCCAAAATTTAATCATCAGTGATAACCACTGTTAAATATTTTTTGTATATAACATTTAACACTTTCTACACTAAATATGGTTACATAATGTACAGGCTGTTCACTATTCAAAATAGCCAAAAAGTGGAAACAACCCAAATGTCCATTTATAAACGATGAATGGATATATTGTGGTGTATCCCTACAATGGAATATTATTCAGCAATAAAAGGAAACGAAGTAGTCACACATGCTACAACATGGACGAACCTTGAAAACATTATGCTAAGGGAAAGATGCCAAACGTACAAGACCACATATTGTATAATTCCATTCATGTGAAATGTCCAGAGTAGGCAAATCCATAGAGATTGAAAGTAGATCAGTGGTAGTTTAGGATTAGGGGTTTCGGAGGGTAGAGGTGAATGGAAAGTGACTGCTAATGGGTATGGGGTGTCTTTCAGGGAGGACAGAAATGTTCTAAAATTAGATTGTGATGATGGTTGCATAATCCTGTGACTATACTAAAAAACAATGAATTGAACTGTACACTTTACATGGATGAATTATATGGCATGTGAATCATATGTCAATAAAGCAGTTTAAAAAAAGGCCAAAAAAATTTTATACAAGCTGTCCTATACCTGCTTCACCCCCTCCCTAATATATCATGGCCAATGCTCCATGTCAATAAGATAGGCAACTACATTGTTATTTTTAAGTGACTGCACAGTGTTCCTCTGTAAGGATACACTGACATTTATTTATTCAGTGCTTTATTATTAAACAGGAACTTGTTTCCCATTGCTTCATTAAACACTCACGTATGGGCACACGACTCTCTACATGTGTATAATTATTTTCTTAGCAAAGAGAAGAACTGAAGGGCAAAGGGCTTGCACTCTTTAAAATGATGCAAATTGCTGGATGGTACTCCAGAAAGGTTACACTAATTAACACTCATCCTAATGGAAAACAAGAATACTTTTTTCTCTACGTTCCCACCAATGCTAAGCATCATCAAACTTGGTAACATTTGACATATGGTAAGTAATATAATTTTTTAAATGTGTATTTCTTTGAATATTGAATTTGAGCAGCATCTCATAGCAGTCATTTGATTTCTTTCATGAAATAACTGTACTTTTATGCTTTGCCCATTTTTGGTCTTTTTTATTGATTTTTCTGACACATGCTGAACGTTGTTTTTTTTTACCAATTTGTCTTTTCATTTTGCTTATGACATGTATTTTCCTATGCATGTTAATATTTTATACACTCAGATCTATTATTCTTTTTGTTTATGGGTCCTGGCCTTAAAACCTAGCCTTTCACCATCCCAATATCATAAAAATATGATCCTATATTTTATTTCTAGTACATGCCACTTTATTTTTATGTTTATTTGAACAATCCAGTCATTCTCTACTGATCTGCAATCCTGTGGCATCCTTGAATTCTCTGAGTTCTGGTTTGTGAAACCCATTTAAAAGAAAACTTACTTAACTGTTGAGCCCATTTTATAGCAGTACCAGTGCCTCCTGCATTGCTTTCAGCTAAGCAGACAACTTCTTGTCCAATCTTCCACCCAATCAATGGATAAAAACCTTTAAAAAAAAAAAAAGAAAAATCAAAGCAAGTCGTATAATAAATACATAATTCACTACAGAGACTTCTACAATGCAACTATTTCATTATCTCAAAAAATAGCAAAGTAGCTCTGAAGTTAGATTGCCTGAGTTCAAATCCCAGCCCCTTCACACTTCTTAGCTGGGGTCTTGCAAGTCCTTAACCTCTTAGCCCCAGTTTCCTCAACTGTAAAACAGCCTACCTCAGAGAGTTGTTGTGAGAATAAATGGAGTTAATACATATAAAGAAGTTAGCACAGTACCTGACATATACGATGAACAATAAATAGTAAACTTTATTAGCTATAGAGATGTCTTTGTCCCTAGAAACACAGAAGCATTTTAATTGAGAAATAAAAGGTTATTATGAGATTGGCTTGCTAGAGAAATTACTATGTTATTGTGTTTATCCATGGTTTCTAAACAATGTTCCTAAATGGAAACAGCCTCATGCAGTGATCAACATTTTCTAGCTTCCATTCTCCCAATTAGGGAAAAAGGAAGAGCTTGAGCGGAGATGGAAGTGGGAAGATTTATAAAAACCGTCTCTTAGTAAGCAGATTAGGGGAACAGAGCCCCAGACTAAGAGCCTCAGCCCTGCTGAAGTGGTTCCCCAGGTGGGATCTTCTTGGTGTGCACATCTCAGGAGGTCCTTTCTGAGGGAGAGCAAATTCCTAGCAATGGTCATCAAAACCCTAAACATGCATGGCCACTAGTTGAGAATTACCATCCCAAAAAATTTCATAGAAAAAGAATTTTGTAAGACATAAAAGAAAAATAGAATTAGAGGCCTAGTAAGATGAGAATACTTGGTGGCTCAGTGGTTAAAGTGCTCAGCTGCTAACCAAAATGTCAGTGGTTCGAACCTACCAACTGCTTTGTGGGAGAAAGATACGACACTCTACTTCCATAAAGATTACCGCCTTGGAAACCCTATGCGGCAGTTCTAGTCTGTCCTATAGGGTCACTATGAGTCAGAATCGACTCGATGGCAATGGATATTTTTGGTTTAAGACATCTTAAACAAATATAATATATATTATAGACAAATATTTGGCAAACTGACAAAAATATTGTAATCTTTGTGGATTTCTCTATAACATCTTTCTCATTTTTTGTAATATCTTTCCCCTAAATATGCTTTTAATTTAAAGAAAAAAAGGGAAATAAGGACTAGTTGTCTCTCAGAATAATAATAAAAAATATGTTACAGAATATCCTTAACATAAATCAAAAGTCTGAGTATCACAAAAGTTAAATATGAACCAAAGAAGTGATGCTTTATTAACAAACAGGGTAAATTCTATTTACCTCCAACAGTCTGTAGAAGGTTCTTTCCAGTATTAATATCCAAAAACGTCCCGGTTCCCATGGTTAACTTCACATCTCCTGTATGGAAGCAACACTCTCCAAACATGGCTGACTGCTGGTCAGCTACCTGCCAAAAATGTTTAAACGTAAGGCCTACTGTCCTTAGCACCAGCACGCATCCTTGTATCCCATTGCCTCAGTTATCCTATTTTTATAATTAAACTTTTTATTTTCTCCCTTTTCCTTAAAAAAATAAAAATCCCCTAGGAGAAGAGGGAACAACAACCATAGACTAGGAGTCCCTCGAGGACTAACATTGTGTGGATAACTAACTCATGTCTCGGGAATTCCTAATGAGCAACCTACTTCATGACTTTTAAGCATTATATGAGTAATCCTAGAAATAAAGGTCAGAATAAAAATTGTGCAGAAGAAAAGCTTTTCATCTTCAACTTAGAGGTTTTACTCGTTTATCAAAATAACTGACCTCACACATTTCTCTTTTAATAAGAGCCATAGGTTTATGTTTAACTGTAAATAGATTTAAGTCAGAACCATATATATCCCAAGTCTTTCCTTTTTGTTCAAAAAGAAAAATTATAACATTCTGTAAATTTAGCTAAATGTAGGTATACATATAGCAGTATTTTAAGGAGCAAATTCATCTAAAAAAACCGTTTTCACTAATCTATATCTCTTCTAGCCATACGTTAATTTACATTTCAGCTTACACTTAGATTGAAGAAGACTGAGACTCTCTAAATGACCATGAATTTGTAACTTGGCAATTAAATTCCTTTTCCCTTGCCTTTTTCCCCTGGCTGCTGTGAAGACTGTCCATCCAGGGACAGGGACGGGTGGTCTATATGTCTTGCTTAAACTGTCATAGGAAATCAAAGACAAAGCCTGAGTTTCTGCAATTTCTCCAACAGGTGGCAAATCCTTGGGGTTCTCCAACTTCCTGACTCTTTCATCCAGCCAGAGAGAAAGAAAATAATCAAGGAAGGACCCTTAAAATTCAGAAACAGCTCATTTTTCATTCCTCCACAAGTTTCCCTACTGGTAGTAGCTGCTGGCTAAGGATCCTATAAAATGTAAATACAACTTTCTTCTTTAGTTAAAACTTTCCTATCACTGTTTATGGCTACATTGTATCAAGTATAAACTAAGCATTTTCCCTATCAATGTTTTTTGTCTCAGAGTATCAAACATAAACCAAACATAACTCAGGATATAATATTTTAAACAAATTTAACAGTTTTCTGAAAAACCAATATACCCAGAAGTCAGAAAAGTTTATGAAGCACTTCCATGATTAGAAGACTCCAGGGCCCTTTAAATTAAAAAGGAAAAAAAAAGAGAGATACTTTAATTTTATTCTGGCAAAGATCTTTTGTTTCTCTTAAATCAAGACCCAGCTATTCATATATATTTATTCAATTTACACTATGCAAAGAGAAACCCTCAAGTTTTCAACTTACCAAGGCCGTGATTGGTATAGGCACACCAAATATCTCTTCATCCACTGTTCCAAAATTGTGGCTTCAAATAAAATTGATCAAAAAGTCATTGCTTTAGAAAGATGAATTCTAAAATACAGCAAATTGTTTTTATCATAGGTCAAAAGTTATATAAAATGAACACACAAGCACCTCAAACATGTAATAAAATGTTTTTCCCTCCCAAGGCAAAATGAATTCAGGGACAATTTTGCTAGTTTCTATGTCTGATGCTCATTATTACCTCGTGTCCCTCACGGGAGGCAGAAGAGAGAGTGGTATCGAAAGCAGGGAGGCAATGAGCCTGCTCCAACACATCTAGCATAAAAATAGGCCATGAGAATCCAACCTAAATTACACAAATTGGCGATTCAAAGAGAAGGAAAAAAAAAATCTTTACCTCATATGAGTCAAAAAGTCCAGTTGTACTGGCATTTGAAAAATCTGTGGCATATTCAGAACCTAAATTTACATTGAAAATAATACATTCTTTATCAGGTAGTGTAAATAAACACCTGTTGCTGGTTTATAATCTAGAACTTTGTCCATTCCCAAATTCATTCTAACACTGGATTTCCAGTGCAAAGTCTCCAGAGCAATTTCCCACTTCATCTTTATGAACTTTATAGCTTACAAAATCATCTTCATACATGTTGTCACTTTGTGATTCCCAATTTAAACTGAGGACAAAGGGTCAGAGGTGCTAAGTGATTATCTGCAGTTATACCAGTTGCAAAGTGACAGACTTGGTACTGAACATAAGTCTTGCCACTTTTGAAACTGTGACTGTCCCCCAGTCTTGTATTCAAGGTTTCATCGTAATTTTAAAATTACCCTCCTCTAACAACAAATCTAAAGTTCATCTAGCTTCACTGCAACATGTAATTATTAGGGTACCAAACAGCAGTATGTCTGGGATACAGGAAGGGAAAAGACAGGAAAAAAGTAACTTCTACTTCTTCTTTTTTTAGACAAATTTTTTCTGTCAAATTTCAGATCCTTGAGGTAGAGCTGATTATCAGGTCATCTTTACCTTTCGTGAGCTTATGTAACAGCCAAGTATCAACAGTCCCAAAGCAGCAATTGCCTTCTTCAACTGCCTTTTGCACCTTGAAAACACAATAGCACCAAAGCAATCAAAAAAGGCTAAATTATTAACTGCAACATTGAATGCAGAGTAGCAGATACAGTATAATCCCATTTTTTAAAAAAAAATAGAATGTAACAAATATATTTCTATAAGGTTCCTGGGTAGAACGAAAGGTTTGCAATCCACTGCTGCACTAACTTAAAGGTTGGCAATTTGAACCCACTCAGTGGTACCACAAAAGAAAAACCTGGCAATCTGTTTTCATAAAGATTACAGCTAAGAAAACCCTATGTAGCAGTTCTACTCTGTGATACCTGAGGTTTCCATATGTCAGCATTGGCTCGACAACAGCAGGTTTGGTTTTTCGGTTTATGCATATATAAAATACATTTTATGTGTATATTTATACACACACACACACACATATACATCTCTATGTATATGTAATATACATTTTTATGTGTAAATTCCACTACTCATCAGTCAGTTTCTAGTACTGTGGTGGTTTGCATGTTGCTGTGATGCTGGAACTTATGCCAACAGTATTTCAAATACCAGCAGGGCTACCTATGGTGGCTCCAGGCTAAGACAGACTAGGCAGAAGGACCTAAGATCTACTTCTTAAAAAACTGGCCAGTGAAAACCTTATGATAGCAGTGGGACATTGTCTGGTATAGTGCTGGAAGATAAACCCCTCAGGTTGGAAGGCACTCAAAATACCACTGGGGAAGAGCTGCTTCCTCAAAGTAGAGTCAATCTTAATGACATGGATGGAGTCAAGCTTTCAGGACCTTCATTTGCTGATGTGGCATGACTCAAAATGAGAAGAAACAGCTACAAAAATCCATTTAATAATCAGAACGTGGAATGTACAAAGTACAAATCTAGGAAAACTGGAAGTTGTCAAAAATGAAACGGAATGCATAAAGATCGATATTCTAGGCATTACTGAGCTGAAATGGACTGGTATCTGCCATTGTGAATTGGACAAGGTCTACTATGCCGGGAATGACAAATTGAAGAGGAATGGCGTTGCATTCATCATCAAAAAGATTTCATGATCTATTCTGAAGTACAAGGCAGTCAGTGATAGGTTACTATCTACATGCCTACAAGGAAGACCAGTTAATGTGACTATTATTCTAATTTACACACCAACCACTGATGCCAAAGATGAAGAAACTGAAGATTTTTACCAATATCTTCAGTCTGAAATTGATCAAACATACAATCAAGATGCATTGGATAATTACTGGTGATTGGAATGCGAAAGCTGAAAACAAGGAACAAGGATCAGTAGTCAGAAAATATGGCCTTGGATAGAAATGACACTAGAGGTCTCATGATAAAATTCTGCAAGACCAATGATTTATTCATTGCAAAAACCTTTTTTCAACAACACAAACGGCGACTATACACATGGACATCACCGTATGGAATCAAATCAACTAAATCTGGGGAAAGAGAAGATGGAGAAGCTCAGTATCAAGAGTCAGAACAAGGCCAGGGGCCGACTGTGGAACAGACCATCAATTGCTCAGATGCAAGTTCAAGTTGAAGCTGAAGAAAATTAAAACAAGTCCACGAGAGCCAAAGTACGACCTTGAGTATATCCCACCTGAATTTAGAGGCCATCTCAAGAACAGATTTCACTCACTGAACACTAATGACCGAAGACCAGAGGAGTCGTGGGATGACATCAAGGACATCATACATAAAGCAAAAGGTCATTAAAAAGACAGGAAAGGAAGAAAAGACCAAAATGGATGTCAGAAGAGACTCTGAAACTTGCTCCTGAATGTTGAGTAGCCAAAGCAAAAGGAAGAAATGATGAAGTAAAAGAGGTGAACAGAAGATTCCAAAGGGCAACTTGAGAAGACAAAGTAAAGTACTACAATGAAATGTGCAAAGACCTGGAGTTAGAAAACCAAAAGAGAAGAACACACCCAGCATTTCTCAAGCTGAAAGAACTGAAGAAAAAAATTCAAGCCTCAAGTTGAAATACTGAAAGATTCTGTGGGCAAAATATTGAACGATGCAGGAAGCATCAAAAGAAGATGGAAGGAATACACAGAGTGACTGTACCAAAAAGAATTGGTCAACATTCAACCATTTCAGGAGGCAGCATATGATCAAGAACTGATGGTACAGAAGGAAGAAGTCCAAGCTGCACTGAAGGTACTGGTGAAAATCAAGGCTCCAGGAATTGACAGAATACCAATTGAGATGTTTCAACAAACAGATGCGCTCACTCGTCCGTGCCAAGAAATTTGGAAGACAGCTACCTGTCCAACCCACTGAAAGAGATCAATATCTGTGCACATTACAAAGAACAGTGATCCAATGAAATGCAGAAATTTTCAAACAATATCATTAATATCACACAAAAGTAAAATTTTGCTGAAGATAATTCAAAAGCAGTTGCAGCAGTCCATCAACAGGGAACTGCAAGAAATTCAAGCTGGATTCAGAAGAGAACATGGAATGAGGGATATCATTGCTGCTGTCAGATGAATCTTGGCTGAAAGCAGAGAATACCAGAAAGATGTGTCTACCTGTGTTTTACTGAATATGCAAAGGCATTCGACTGTGCGGATCACAACAAATTACGGATAACGTTACGAAGAATGGGAATTCCAGTACACTTAACTGTGCTCATGCAGAACCTGTACATAGACCAAGAGGCAGTCATTTGAACAGAACAAGGGGATACTGAGTGGTTTGAAATCAGAAAAAGTGTGTGTCAGGGTTATATGCTTTCACCATACTTATTCAATCTGGATGCTTAGCAAATAAGCCAAGAAGCTGGACTATATGAAGAAGAAGGTGGCATCAGGACTGGAGGAAGACTCATCAATGACCTGCAATATGCAGATGACACAAACTTGCTTGCTGAAAGCAGAGGACTTACTGATGAAGATCCAAGACTGATGAAGATTCAGGCCTTCAGTACAGATTACACTTCAAAATAAAGAAAACAAAAATCCTCACAACTGGACCAGTAAGTAACATCATGATAAACAGAGAAAAGATTGAAGTTGTCAAGGACTTCACTTTACTTGGATCTACAATCAATGCCCATGGAAGCAGCAGTCAAGAAATCAAACGACGAAATGCATTGAGCAAATCTGCTGCAAAAGAGCTCTTTAAAGTATTAAAAAGCAAAGCTGTCACTTTGAGAACTATGGTATGCCTGATATGCATGCAAAAGTTGGACAATGAATAAGGAAGACCAAAGGATAGATGCCTTTGAATTATGGTGTAGGTGAAGACTATTCAGTATACTATGGACTGTCAGAAGAGTAAACAAATCTGTCCTGGAAGAAGTATGGCCAGAATGCTCCTGTGAAGGGAAGATGGTGAGACTTCGTCTCACTTACTTTGGACATTTATCAGGAGAGATCAGTCCCTGGAGAAGGACATCATGCTTGGTAAAGTAGAGGGTCGGCGAAAAAGAGGAAGACCCTCAGTAAGAAGGACTGACACAGTGGCTGCAACAATGGGCTCAAAATAGCAAGGATTGTCAGGATGGCGCAGGACTGGGCAATGTTTTGTTCTGTTGTATATAGGGTTGTTATGAGTCAGAACCTACTCAACAGCACCTAACAACAACAACAATGTATATATTGAAATATACACGTAGAAAAACAATTTCTAGAATACACCCCAAGCATTTCTAAATAATTATTATGGGTGTGAGATTTAGGGCATCAGGGGCTTTCATTTTCTATGTAGTATTTCTGAAGTGCTTTAGTCTTACATTAAGAATGTGTTACTTTTGTGAAGAGCACAGCAAAAAAAAAAAAAAAATATTTTTAGTTTAGACATACAAGTACACTAGTATAGCCTAAAGTAGGGGATGGCACACTATGGCCTACAGGCCAAACCCAGCCCACTGCATTTGACTAAGTCAACCACTTACTCTTTCTTGAAACACTTACTATGTGGAGCCTTTGAGTCCACACTGGCCTGGTTTTCCTTTTTTCCCTTTGGCTGTTCCTCCTCTTCTCCCCAGCATCTACATGTTAGAATCCTGAGGATCCTTCTCTTTTCTTCCTTTAAAAGCTTTTAAATAATTCTTATCTCTATTCCTGACCTCTCCTATAAGTTCCAGACTTACTCAACTTCTTTATTAAGTATCTCCCCCTGGAGGCATCTCAAACTTAACATGGGCAAAAAAAACTTTTGGATTCTACTTCACCCACCACCCCCTACTTTGCTCCTCTCCCAGTATATACTGTCTCAGTATTGAGCACCAATATTTACCCAATTATTCACTCCAAAAAACATGGCATCGTCTTAGATAACTCTCATTTCTTCATGCCCCTCATCCAATCAATTAGCAAGGCTTGTTCGCTCAACTTTTAAGAATTTTCTTGAATTTGACCATGTCTTACCACCTTCACTGCCGTCATCTTACTCCAAGCTACCCCTGTCTCTTGCCTATTCTACTGCAACAGCCTAACTAGGTATGTCACCCACTTATCTCTGACTTCATCCTACCAGTCTCCACATTGCTCAGTCTCTCCAGCCACAGTGGCCTTCCTGCTAGTCTTACAGGATGCCAAACTCATTATTCCCTCAGAGCCTTAGTACTTGTTGTTTGCTTTCCTGAAATGCTCTTCCCCCAGGTTTTATATCATACCCCCTCCCTCAAATCTGTTCAAATGTCACCTTCTTTAATCACCCCATCTAAAATAACTCCCCACCTCCTTCATATTCTAACACTTTTCTCTCATTTACTTTCCTTCTTAGTGCTTTTCAAAACCTAAAGTTATATTATTTATTTATTTTATGTTTTCCCCACTAAAATACAGGCTCCTTCATGGCAGGAACTTTTGTCTTAGTCATTACTAATCCCATCATGTAGAGCAGTGCCTGGTACAGAGGAGATGTTTAACAACCACTTAAATGGATGACTTGTCACAACCACCCCATTTTCCAGATCCAGAAACAGCCTTAGAATGTGCTCCTCTGCCCATTCCCGATCATATGGGTGAACCTTACTTCAATCCTTCA